GCTTGTTGGCAGTCGTCAGAAGTTTATTGTGGAAGAGTCCCATTAGTTGGCAGTCGTTGAAAAAGATAAATGACCTATTATTTTAGCTCGAAAGTCATTGTAAAGTAAAAAAATTGGTCGATAACTTCAGCAAAAGTCGTTGAAATTACAACAACTATTGCCATTGTATGAGACCTGGCCCCTGGGCTATTTGGGACACCCCCAAAAACGCATTTACAGTAGAACCTCAGTTAGCAAAGGCTCCAGTTATGAAAAAAATTGATTAAAAACAAATAATATTGATAACATTTAGGTACCTCGCTCATCGAAAAAAATTTCACTTATCGAAAAATTAGTGCATCATCGGCCATCACTAAATTGTGCATAGAATGTCATATAGAATTGTGCACCAGGCATCATAGAATGAAAAGTAATTGACCTAAACTATGATTTATTTCTCCAGAACATATGATGGTTGTCTCTAAAATATTCCTTTCTGTTTCAGGTATGTTTTCCATGATCTTTTTTTATAGTAAATTCACTTAACCCAATTAAAATTGTGTGAAATTACAAGCCGTCCTGTAAGCTTACAGATACAGAAAAAATGCTATAGGGCTGCTGATATGAAGCTTGCAGTGGACAAGGTTGTTGTAAATGCTCAATGGCATGTTCATGGATATGGTAATATCGCATCAATAATATGGTAATATTGCATCAATAATACGGTAATCAATGTATATGGTAATATCATATCAATAAAGGAAAAACGAGTAAAAATCTCAGAAAATGTCATTTATTCTACCTCTACATCATCTACAATGAAAGAGGAGGACTTCAGAGTGTACTGTTATTAATGGATGAGTACACTCTGCATGCTTCAAATGTTTTAAAATGAAGTTTTATTCCAAGTAATTTGCTTTATTCATTTTGAATGAATTGATTTTTTCCAAACATTCCCCCAACATGGTTAGTGTCAACATTCATACATCTTAAGTGTTTTGTGTTTTTGAGCCTATGCATGATACATTGTCTTTGTGCATCTCATAAAATTTCATGTATTTATTTATTGCATTATTGAGTTACCAGTGGCATTTATTATGACATCTAATGATGCTTGAGCTTGAAGAGCCAAATGGATTCTCCTTATATAACAACCTCAGCATTTTTGTTATCAAGTTAATATTATTTTTTATATTGATTTATTCTAGCAAAGCTTCTCAATTTGGAATAAGCACAACTGAGCTTTGGGCAGTGCCTATTCAAGGGTATGGGTTGCATACTGTTATTTATAATTCAGAGAATTGACTAACCTGTTGCAGGGTCCATCCATGGCAGTGACAACTTCCTGTACCTGGTGCACTGATTATATGTGGGCTGTACTACTGAAAAGTTTAAAATTAAGATTTATTTCCCTGTTATCTCCACATATGCTACAGTATCCACTAAAAGTTTATTACTTATAAATTTTACTTATATTGTTTTTCTGCAGTCGGTTATAACATAATCATTTTTAGGTGATTTTGAAAAAAAAAATACATTTAATACAGTTGTCATTCTACAACAAATTATGCAAGCTCTGTAGATGGAGCATCAATGATAGGGAATTGTTTGAAAATAAAATCTGAGACTGGATAGAGATAATATATTTTAATAAATAATTTATTTATCTGTTGGTTTGTGTTGAGCTCACCATGTGTATCTGAACAATCTATATTACTGCCAATCTATTGTAGTACAGTTTGTTGCAAGCCTCACTAGTTAATAATGTTGTTGGAGGTACATTGTGCTTCATAGTTAGTACTTTGTAATTTGCATGCTCTTGCATTGTAACACAATCATTTGCATAGTGATGCAATCAAAGTCAAGTTTTGATTGTGAAATCAAAACTAATTCTTCCCCCAGACTTGCAGGTTTGGGCAATGATGCTGATGATTATGCGCATTGTGCGCTAACCCTATTAGAAATCTAGTGGTATTCACCATGATTTCTTCTGGAAATATTTTACAATGCCTAATATTGTGCATTTGGTTTGGTTTAATTTCTGCGGCCACCATCAACTATGAATATGAGAAAGGTAATAGTTGCTTCTTGTGTGATTTGTGAATCCTTTCATAATTTTTTAGTTAGTTTTTACATGTTTAGGTGGTATAATAACTAATGCATACCTGGGTAGTCATATTTTGAGAATACTTTTAATTTAACATTAAATAATTCTTTCTTTGCTCATGTTGAAATGTAATCTCAACTTAGTAATTTTTGTCACATTCCCAAAGTATTGTGCAGTTCATTAAGTGAATTAGGTGCTGATGTGAAGAATTAGTGTGGTACAGTTCTCATTAATTTGACATAAGCAGGCGTGGTGTCAACACTGAAGCACTGCCCAGGCTACTATTGTGGACGCACGCTGCTCTCCAATGGATCTTGGTCGTCATGTGGACAGTGTGACCGTGGCACGAGACGTAATGCCTCCAGCGCCTGCATGCCCTGCTCTGATGAACCCAGCTTCTATGATTGGCTATACCTTGGATTCATGATGCTAACTCCCTTGCTGCTCAACCTACTTTGTGTCGACATTTCTCTTAAGAAAAACAAGTTTGTGTGCCATAGAACTGATAAGGCTATTGTAGAGCACTTGCATTTTCTATATTATTATTCACCTGCTTTTCCTGCGACCAGCACTCAACAAGCTATTTGACAGGTTCAGGATCATTGTTACTGAAATCCTTAGTGTTTTGATTTCACTTGGTGGTTAGGTGAATATTGATTGTCTGTTTTTGTTTTGTTTTCCTAAGGAGAATATTGTGTGGGCAGATTAGAGGAGCGCACCTGGCTTCTGTATGTGTGTGTGGTGGTGGAAGCCGTACTGGCTTCTGTCATCACACTGCTCGTGACTCCTCCACTGGGGTCACTGACGCTGTCTTCCTGCCGTCCCAGGGATCTCAGGGACTGGTACCCCATCATGTACAATCCTAACCCAAACTATGAAGGAGTACTTCACTGCACCCAGGAAGCAGTTTATCCCATGTATGTGCTAATGCGTAATTAATCTAATTACATGATGCGAAACTTTCAACATATTGTTTCCTCCCCATTGTGAATACTCAAAATCAGTATCCTTGAATTCTCAAAATCAGTATCAGTATCCAAATCAGTTTTACCTCGGTAACCATAATCTTATCGCAGCGAGACTAAGGATGATGGTTATTCAGGTACACAATGGTGCTGGTGGGCTACTCGGTTTTCCTGGTCCTGATGTTGGCCTTGCGTCCTGCCATCGCTGAAGTTGTGTCAAAGAAAGCTAAGGTGGAAGATGCAGGCGCCATCTACTCGGCGCTCTACCTGCTACCATCTCTTACAGTTATACATGCTCTCTTTGCCGGAGCCATTTGTGAGCATCTCAGTACCAAACTTCGTGTCCTTTCTTTTTTAAATACTCAACCTGTATTTGTGTTAGATATAATATTTTGCAGGTCTCTTTGGTCCTATAAAGAATTCCTTAATTGTTACAAGAGAACTATTAGTTGGTTGTTCAAAGTTTTTTTCTTTAGCAATCATTCCAATTCGTGGGCTTGAATCTGTGTGTTGTAACAATGTAAATTAAAATAATATTGTAAATTAAAATAATTTACGAGCAGAATTGTGTACATAATGTTTCGCATGTGTCAAGAGTGACGTTCATTGATAACATCTTCATTCATTGTTGAAGTGTCATAAAACGCCTACGGCTTTCCTGTGAAGCTGCAGTGGCTTCAAGCAATCCACCACGAAAGGCTCAATTAAAAGATTAATTGCGTTGACAGACACTGTGTTCCCTTACCTGGTGATCGTTGGCTCCATCATCTCCATCGCAACTTACTTGGCTTATCAAGGAGACCAGGTGAGAAGTTATCGTCCTTGTAGGTGGCTTGCGGTTATTAGACCATCTTGTTGAAAAAAGATTAGTTTTATAATAATAAATAAACTATAATAACTTATTTCTTATGTTCTGATAGAAAGATTTGTGCGTGGTAAATTGCTTACTCGTACTTCTTCTCTTACATTTATCCCTTCGAAAATTCGGCCAGCTAAGATCTTTCCCATAAATTCATCTTGAGTTATTAAGGTATTAGTGTTTATCACATGAATAAGCTACATCCTAGGAGATGAATTTCCCGCAATAATATTCATACTTATAATCAGTCAATTGATGTACAATGGACAAGTTGAAATAAAATGCTACTGTAACATCTTTGCTCTCGTACTTGAGCAATAGTGATTTGGCGTTGAATAAAATTAATAGATTAGACTGGAGGAACTGTACTGAAATTCTCAATGCTATCACGAATAAAAATTCTGTGTTAGTTCGTGATTACGGCCGCAACGTTCAAACTTGCCAATGAAGAGTCATCGCAACTCTTGATTCGCTGATATGGTTTATCGATAGCTGTTATGCGACTTCTGAATAATGATCTGCATCAATGCGAGATCTTAATTCGTTTGTGCAGGTTTCCTTCCACTCGTCACTTGTAACGTCTTGCTTATCATCATCATTACTAAGTTGAATATTGGTTTCACTTCATGAATAACTATACTATTCTCCTTTATGTTTATTTACTTTCTTTTCTGCAAGAACTTTATATGCTCCACTTTTCTAATATTACCGTTTATTTCAAGCTAGGTTTCATTCAATATCCTTCCTAATATAGGTATGTCTTGTGACGTCTATGAACGTCAATTATAACTTAAACTTTTAATGCATCTTACTTATTCCATGGTATATAACAGCGAGTGCGCGTGGTGTTCATCTTACTTATTCTATTGTATGTTATAGAGAGTGCGCCTGTTCATCTTACTTATTCCATTATATATAACAGCGAGTGCGCGTGGTGTTCATCTTATTTATTCTATTGTATGTTATAGCGAGTGCGCCTGTTCATCTNTATAACAGCGAGTGCGCGTGGTGTTCATCTTACTTATTCCATTGTATATAACAGCGAGTGCGCGTGGTGTTCATCTTACTTATTCCATTGTATATTACAGAGAGTGCGCGTGCTGATACGCGTATTCTTCCGCGACAAGCGCTCAGTGCTGATACTGTTGGGTCACTGGTGTCTGCACGCGTACGGCATCATCGCGCTCACGCAGCTCACGTACCCCGTGGTGCACGCATCTCTCTGTGCCCTCGTGCCCGTACCTGCTCTCTTCTACGTGCTCACCGCTCGCTTCTCAGACCCCACCAGAGTGCAGGGCTGTGCCATACCGCCGCCGGCGTCCACTCGCCCATGTTGAACACGTTTATGCTAATGTTATCCTTTGCCTTAGTACCTGGTGTCTCCGTATACTTTTTTTACGGCTGTATTGACTTTGCCGAGTTTTGTTTGCTCAAAGTCCTGATCATTCAAAATCTCTGATATCTTTAAATTTACGCCTTTTTCGCAACATTTTTTTATTTTCATAGCCATATTCGTTGAATTTTCTATCTGAATTTCTAGATAGTTGACGGTTGTTTATACATCAGTATTTGTTTCGTCGAAAATAAATGTTTATTACTTTGTTAGTATAGTTCGCCGCTTTTAAATTGGCCTTGAATTTGTATATAAGCTCGTGCTGATCTATTTTTTCAACTGATCTGAATAATTTTTTCCTATTATCAGCATTGTGAAATTCCCGAGATTTTGATACGAAATTGAACAACGAAAATAGTAAATTACTAAAGTGGAAGAATAAAAAAAATTTTCAAAGAGAAATCCTCCAGTTGTCTCGTTCATTTTATTGTAAAATGTTTATTTCTTTCAGCCACAAGCTCAACGTAAAATGAGTCATGTTTAGAAAGTGAAGCTCTTCTCATTTACTCTTTTTTTTCTTTTGAACAAAAATGTCAATAGTTATCTTTTGTACAATTTATAATTACACTAAATAAATTTCGGTGTTGAATATTCTAATAAAACTCTATTTTTGTAATGCAACTTTTACTCGCCGATGCTCCTCATGTCCACTTGTTTGACCTGTGACTCTAACTGACTTTTTGTTGCTCCAGATTCAAAAGTTTACAGTAATTTGAGCTGCATGCTTAGGTAGAAAACCTAAGCATGCATGAGAATGTGATTCTGTCATGTTCATTGTGTGATTAAGACTTGCATAAGATGTTAAAATTTGCGCATCGGTTTAATTTATGTCTTGTTCCTGCATATTACACATCAAAGTTGATTTATTAAAGAGTTATTGCTAAATTCCAGTCCCGCACGTGGTAGGATAAACATCCTACTTGGGGAATGCCGCTCCCCCGGGGTATCCTGATGGCCGTGTTAGATCAGCAGGAGGCAATAATCGAAAGTTGAATAATATAGCACATCTAAGCTCAGACCTTTGCAAGAAGCCAATTTTTTTAGGATGACTAACATTTCCAACCATAAATTTTGGTCTGCATTGTAAATTCGTTTTTTCTCTAAAATTGGATGTTCCATTGACATTATAAATAGCATAAATGTCCTTTCCAGCTTCAACTTTGTTGCTGGTGAAACTGCTCGAAATTTTGCAATTTTTCTCACTGAAAGAAAAGCAGCAAGAACTCATAGGTCAATAGCATGTATTTTTATTTTCGCTCAATTAAAATTTTTGGCATTGCTTGCCTCTTATCCTTCACTCGTGATGCCATATCCCTTTCAAATCAGATTATGGCGGAGAATGAATGAAAGGTATCCGTTCTCGAAAAATTAAGTAAAATTCACAAACCGACCCTGAGTAGACCATTTAAACTATAAAAACCTCCATATTCCGTCGCTAACTCGCTTAATACTTTCAACAGAACCGTACCTACATTGACTACTGTCAAAAATTTATACCTATCACTAGATGATATTTCAGTTTCAAATAATAAAAAAGTTGCGTACATTTGAGGAATCATAAAGATTTTAAGTCACGCTGAAGAAAGCAATCACCGATCTACAAGCTTCAATTTCGTGGTTTGAGCACATGCAATATTTGGGATGCGACCACGTGGAGGCGTCAGAGCGTTGGGTGTGGGCATCTTGTTGCTGGCTTATCGCATCATGAGCGCCGGCCTGCAGTACATCCCTCCTGTCACGCTCGCCCTCATATTGCTGCAGGTGCCTTGTGATGTAGCAAGTGCTGGATCTCGTATTTTACGGGAATATTTAATGTTGCTGATGTCAGGTAGGTGAGAAATGTTTTTTTTAATTATGGTGAGGTCTGGTGTACGCTAATGTATTTTCGCACTTCCTGCTTATTGTTAGTAAAAAAAGTTCAACGTAGACTCGTGGGCTTTAAATTTTCAAGGATGTTGCATTCACCAGAGGCATTGTTTGAGCTGCCGTCTTAGCTCTGTTGGTAAGTTATTCTTTTGGTAAGAGTCTTTGAACCCCACTTTCGCCTCTTTTGCGAAGGCGATCTCTTAATTGTACCGTCGTTCCTGTCACTGTTTACTTCATTTTTATTCAATTCCGATATGCTTAATAGACTTACTCAGCCTATAGATAACAGCTTCTAGACGTACGTAGATAGACGTAGACGCCTATAGATAACAGCTTTCATCTGACGTACGTAAAGAAGACGACGCAGGATCTTCTATTTTGTCGATGGTATGTCTCCAGAGCTCGTTTATTTCTATTTTAATTTTGCCGCTTTTTTTACACAGGCTGCACTGTTCACGGGCGTCTTGAACCCGCCGTGGACGAGTGACACGGTGTGCCTGAGCGCGCAGAGCGTGCTGGTGTGGGGCGACTACAGGCGTCTGCTGCTGGCGGCGCTGGAACACACCAGCGACATGCACCTCTACTACAACATGAGCTCGCTGCTCATCAAGGGCGTATCGCAGGAAAAAAGGTTGCTTGCTGCATGCCTATTTATCTATTTTGTGTCAATCTATTGTGCGAGTCGAGGTTTATTCGCAATTATTAAACCGCGAGCCATCTGATGCTTCTTACGATTAGAGTTCATCAATATGCTGATGAAGGTTTGAGGAAAGAGATTGGATTTAGAAGTTTCAAACGGCCATCCCTCTCCTAATTAATTAGTGTAAGTACCGTATGTATTATTTACGTTGAGGTAAAGAATACTATGAGGGTACAGTATGTTTATTTGATGGATTGAAAAATGATGGCGCCAACCAACACCTGCGTGCGTAATGGTCGTTAGAATAAAGACATGACATAGCATAGCAATATGACATGACAAAATAGCATAAAACAACATCGAAGCAATATTGATAGCAAGCGGTAATTCAGTTTTGACAGTTACGCTTTGAAATATTTAGTTACATTATCATTATAAGAATTGAATTCTAGAGAACTTGGCAGCTTACCCCTAGCAGTTCACAAGAACGCTGACTAAAAAATTCGGCTAAGGCTTGACTGGCTAATGTTGCCCGCTGGCGCACCCTGAACAGAATTCTCAATTTTTGAATGACCTTATTAGAATCTAAAAGTATTTTTGTCGTTTAATGAATTTTTATTGCTCAGAAATCAGACTAATATTGTTCATGCTTGAAAATTTATAATATTTTTAATTTAATATTTTACAATTGCATAATAGTGGACAATTAAGTAGATACTTGTTTTTTAGCTAAAAAGGTTACATGAACCTACAAAAACTATGTTCACCGAGCATGAGGATTTAATAAAAATTATTATGACGTTCCCAGGAAATAATAATGATAGTATGAATTTGAGTCACTACAGGTTTATCTAGAGAAAAGATGGCCATTTTCTAATAATTACTAGTATTGGCGTCATTTTTTTTTCGTAATTATTTCATAGGTCGTTTGAAATAATTTCGTAGAAATTATCTGTTGCAAGGCTCCCAAAATCACCAGTACATCACAAGTCGAGATTTCGATGTTATATGAAAATAATATTGTTATTTAGAAGCAAACTATATAGGTTGTCTGAAAATAAGAGCTAGCTGAAGTTTTTCGTTCTTCCGCTCTGTTAGAATCATTTACGTGTATTTCGGTGATTTATAGATGCCATTTCTCTTCAAATTAAATCCTGTATTGTAGCTCTCGTGCGTTAGACGTATTTAATTTTCATGACTTTGACTGATTTTTTGCTGCCCTTGTACAAACATTTTTTTAGTTTGTCGCGCTTTGCTTATCTAATAATAAACGTTCAATTATGTTCTTTTTGGATATAGAGGCCAACTGGTCATAAACTTGGCACAATTGTCTCAATATGGAAAGGTTTCACTATCTTTAAAAACATTCTCGACAACTCGTTTATTGGTCACTGGGAAGATTATTACGAATACATGAAATGTCACGACAAAATTTGCACTGCCTCCTGTCATGTCTGTTCGTCATACCACGTGCGCTTCTCTCACTATATTACGTATAAATTAAGACTCTTAACCATTCTCTTGTAACGTTCAATTTTTTTATCAATTCTCGTGTTGGTTAGACTTGGGTCGCGCGTGTTCTTCATGCTGATATTGCTGTTGACTGCAGCGACGAGCATGTCCTACGTAGGGCTGATGGAGGCAGCAGCACGATACCTGCATCCTTCGTACAGGACTCAGTGTGCCATAGGATTCTCAGGTGCGACTGCTTGCCTCTTGATGACGTAGGTGATCATTGCAGGTTTATCGCTACTGTAATCTTTACAATCGTGTTTCGTAGTATCTTCAATCATCACACTCGCAATAAATGTAGGTAGTATCCATTTGCTATGTGACATTGATTTCCTAGTTATTTTCATAAAAATTTTACTTCAATTACTTTTTTAGTTCAAAATATTGAGCCCTTTAATTAGAGAAGATAATCTTATATTTCTCCAATTCATTAATATGTTCATTTACCAAAGTTCACACGGTAGGTTTGCTCTAAATCATCCCACAGAAATAATGAAGAAATGTTAAATCGTTAACATGCTGGGCGTGCTCTAAATCATCCCACAAATCTAATGATGAAATGTTGAATCGTTGTCATGTCATACGTTTTTTGAATCACCCCACTGATATAATGTTAAATGGTTGTCATGCCAGGCGTGTTGTTCGCGCTGAAGGTGGTGAGCACCTACCACGAGTCCCGCGGTTACGAGACGGCGTCCACATCCCTGCTGTGGCACCTGCACATCACGGTGCCCACGCGCTACGCCGTGTGGGTAGAGCTGCTCGTCATTCATATTCTCGTCCCGCGGTCGTCTTTTGCTGGGCATCTTGCCGGCATCCTAGTCGGTCTCGCTTATGTCACTACAGGTTTTGAAAAAACTCTCTACGACATTGACTACATGTTCAGGTCCATTTTCTTGGGTGAATCTTACACTTACGCACGGGGTAGAGCAAGAAGAACCCGCGATAATTTTGAGGATGAACCTGGCCCTAGAATGCGCTACTACGGGAGGCCGGAAGAGTACCGGGCGTATTCAAGGGAAGATTTCAACCCAACCAGGAACTTCGAGCCCATGTTCGCTGAAACTTCCAGGCGTAGGAGACACCAGGCAGCTCCCAGTCCCTCTGCCCCCGTGAGTCGGCCGTATTGTTTGCAAGTAATTGAAATAGAATTTATTTTCTGATGGAAAGCCTTGCGCTGATGAATCCATATGCTACTTTTCAATTATTTTATGCTATATTAATGTACTGCTATCGTCGATAATGCTATGACTCGAAGTTTATTTATAAACAGTCTCACTGTCACTAAATGTTTAGGAAGAAAAATAGAGCTATTCTGGTTTATTATAATGTTTTATTCGTTGCGTACAGTCGGCGGAAGACGTTCATGAACCCGCGCTGCCCGCGGACCCCGAAGAGCTGCGCAGGCTGCGACTCCAACGTTTCCAGTGAGGCATTTCTCTTTGCTCGTGAAATCAATAAGACGCGTGTGAAGCCTACGTGTTGTGCAGCTGCAAGTTAAAGCGTGCCATTGTATCAATGAGGCTTTCTTTCAATTAGATTGTTAATCGGTTACAAGTATCAATACGTCTTGCAAAATGAACTATAACACGCGTTATCTAATGAGTTAACAATGGCATTATTCTTGTATAAAATCAGCATTTCATGCTCCCTTATAAATTGTAAGGTTTTTATGCTCAGTACTACAAAACTTCTAATTTTCTGTGATCGTATTTTATATAGAATCGTGATGACATCAAATACTAAAGTCAATGGACGTGTTATTTCTTTACGTTTCTGGTTCTTTCAGACAGGAGGTGACAGATTAATCACAAATTCGATATCAATTTGGATTCGAGAAAAATTGAACTTTACGATTTCATGTATATTCTAATTTAGCATATTAATGCGTTATAATCAAAGTTATCTAATAAACCCCGTACAGGATTCTCCATTGCGTTGGAACACTTGATTCATCCCCAACCTTATTTGCTAGTCAAGAAATAATTTTCGACCTTTTGGATTTTCAGACAAAAATCTAAAAATCGTAAATGAATGGTAAAATATTATTACCAAGTGAAAAATGACCATTCTCACCATTGGCTATTTCTGAGCAGCAATCGTGTGGACTTTGGTGAATCTTTTTGTGTGAAATTTGAGGGTATAGCAGCTAGCCTGAATATGTCTGTGATACTTGGCTTTAAATTAATTTGTAGAAAAAAGTACGTATATCCGCCACAGTGATACCTATATTTTATTTGGCACACGATGATAATTTTTATTTGCACGCGCTTTTGAGTTAAAAATATTTAAATAAATAAATATAGCGATAAAAATAAATCTGCATTATTTCGCAATATTTAAATAAATAAATATAGCGAAATCGTTCGGTAGTTTGTAAAGTGTAATTACTGTATACCCTTGTGTTTTTTTACCAATGCTTTGTTCTTGATTCGTGATGCTTTAGTAACTCGGAAGTTTATCAACAATTTTCGAAATTATTCCGATTTCGGTGAAGTTGACAAAAATATAGATAAAAACCATCTCCATTTGACCTCATTGTGTACCTCGACAATTAATTGATTTCCTCAACTTATGACTGAGAAAAAATAACATATTTAAAGATTCAATTGTTCTTCATCTTCAAAGCTGGTTACCATATTACATTTTCAAGAATTACTTTCCATTCCTTTGCTATAAGCAATGCTTAACAACTGACTGGCTAAACTCATTTTGCTTCAAACTTTTGCTGTATCATTCCGTACTATAATACTATTTCATTCCCAGCGTTTTTTTATATAGATCTTTCTAACTTCCGTTAATTACACAGAGTGTTTTCAAACGTCTTTCATTGTCCATATTTTACCGTAGCTTAGGTTAGCGTCACTTTATACGATTTATGTATATACTTTGATTCAATTTCCGTAACGCCTGCTGGTCTCATTGAGCTGCTTAAGCTGCATTATAAAAATTTTATCTCATTACTGAAATCCGTGTCATTCATTGTGTATATAACGTATAATAGTTTGGATACCGTTCATTTTATCATTGTACGCCGTACGGCGTTTTAAACACTGAAAACTTTTTTTTTTCACGCGCAACTCCGATAAAGCTGTGCGTTAGTCTGAAACTCTTCAGATGTTGTCCAAAATCAGTGTTTTTGAAACTATAAAATTTAAATTTGATTCCTTGATTGTCGATCGATCTGTCATGAGGGAAAGATTTACTCATTCTGTCTTGCTCGTCCTCCCCTTTGTGTAGGATATTTCACTTATTTCCACCCAAATGAATTGGTCCAGCTTATACCTGCACTGAAAGTGTGCACAATTATATGAAAGAAGTGTGAGAATGCCAATTAAACTTATTCATAGAATATTTGAAGGGTGCACGTGTCTCCAATCTCGTTGTCCAGTATGGCAAGCCCTTGTGAGTGATCTCGATTTTCCTTTAGATCTTAGCTTTTATAAAGGCTACCAGTGCTGCTAGAGAAATAATATCGATCAGTGAGCGAAATCCTGGGATAATCATGTTATGGAGAAGTTGATATTTACATACATTGACGAAATACAGCTGGCGACGTAATTTATGAAGCGAATAATATGCTTTTCTGAAGCACTTGAATCAATCATTATAGTACAATTTATTTCATATAAGATAAATTCAGGCGATTCTCAACCTGCATTGCTTCTCAACCACACTTTCTGAACGGTTTTAGGCCGGGAACCATGGAACTGCTATTAAATTTGTTATCAACAGCTGAGCAATCACATGAACATTCGTAGACGTTTTGATTTCCACCCCAATAAGAAGAGTGCACTCTCTTGACCCAGTAATTGTATCACCGCTCTACAACTCGATGATGTTTATTTGCCTCAAGGGAGACTGAGGGTAACTTGCCCTTGTCTAAGGGAATTATATTGCTTTCCCTGGGCCCCAGCATTCAGGTCCACTTGATTATAAAACTACTAGCCAACCCGGCGTTATTCGGGGTAAATATTTCTAGCGGTAGAACCCTGTATACATTTTTCCTCAAATGACGAAAAAGTCCCATATAATTACAATTTTGAAACTTAGAGAGATTATAAATTTTATCTTGGAATAAATTTCATTTTCCGAATAAAAAATTTACTAAGCAGAAGTTTTTAATCCAACCCCGTTTTCCAATTTCACTGCTATTGAAATAAAATTTCTCAACATGGTAAGATCGCGACACGACAGGTATTTCGATAAGCGCTCTGCTAGTTGCCGCTATATCTTGACAGTACCTTACATCAAACACGTACAAACGCTGTAAAATTCATCCATTATAAAGTTTTGATAGTTTGTGCGCATGAAGCTTTTCAATGGAAATATATAATGGCTAATCGAGCGCGTATTACCTAGATTTGAAATGTTTTTGTAGTTCCGTATTTATGATAAAGTGTCATGATACGATTGAAAATTATCATTTCATATTCAATACGGTAAATTAATATTTAATTTTTTTTAATTGTATCCGAAACTCCTTAGCTGGAGTTCTAGGTGAAATGTTAGTTTGAATGATCCTTCTAATTGACTGCGTGAATTTTGAAAACGGGATTCTCAAATATCAGAGATCATCTGTCCCAAGCAACGACTTTAAGCTTCCAACTGATATTAATAGATGGATAGATGCAGCTCTTGAATAACGAATTACCTACAGATATCGTCATGCAAGAGGATATTTTTATTATTTTTTACCTACAGATATCTTACCTTATTTTTTTACCTACAGATATCTGATAAATCTACCGGGTTTGGGAGCTATGTCCATAGTTCCCAAACAAACAATTCCCTTCCGATGAGTCAAACAAACTCTACTTCACCTGATGCTAAGAAATTGTTTTGCGATTATTTTCATTGAAAATCGGGTACCATGATTTTGTCTTATTTCATTTTGGCATAGGAAATTAAGAAAATTTTAACGTTTCATAATAATCGCGATGGATCCATTGATGCTTCGATGGCTATGTGGAGTGCGCCAGCTGTCTTATCTTCAGCGAAATTCACTCTTGAGCTCCAACCATAATTATTTTAGTAGTCACGCTGTTATGTTGCCACCAACGCTTCTGCTACCGCATGAAATCGGACGACAATATAACTTTCAATCTTCCAATAATACGCGAGGTAGTGAATATGTAGCTCGGAACTTTTCATACTTAGGACATCAATTTTCGTCGGTTTCGGATCGACTTTCGAGCACGCTGTCTCGAGTTACAAATTCTTCATCTAAATTGAGTATTAATAACTCACAAAACACAGGCTTCCTTGGCTCCAAAATCATGGGAAATAAACATTCATCAATTATGAATGATCTCAGCTATGTCAACACGAGCCTGTGGATAACAAATATTTGCGACCGGCGGCTGTTGTCGACTCGTGGACAACAGACGCTTGTGACTGTGGATGACGTGGCCGCGTACATCCAAGACGAAGCGTCCAGCGTTCTCGTCATGACCGGCGCCGGCCTGAGCACTGCTTCCGGCATTCCGGACTTTAGGTGAACCTCCAGATAACGATCAAATTTCTTCCGGCGTCGCAGATTAATAAGTTAGGTAATGTTTAAAATATTACCTAAAGTCTGAATCATTATTTTGCTATAAACTCATTGCTACCGGGACTACCAATAAGTTATTATAAATCACGGAAAGGATCTATTTTGTTGCAACATTATTTTCTGCAGATCACCAGGCACAGGAATCTATGACAACCTCCAGAAGTACAACCTGCCGTACCCGGAAGCTATTTTCGACATTCAATTTTTTATGATGGACCCGCGTCCTTTTGTATCTTTGGGTGAGTGTAAATAAGATCAAAATATACTTTGATTCAATTGTGTACTTTTTTCAACTTTTAAAATTAATTTATTGAATCAAAATCGTCAATTTATTTCGCTGGTTTTATATGCATTTTAACTTTACCTACACCACAATTTGTAATATTTGTAACCTTTCCTCGGATGACGTTGAAAAGCATGAAAATATTTTGTCACCCAGCAACTATTTATTACATTTAAATTATTGAGCTAAAATGCCTCGTAAAGAGTAAACCTTTGCTGAGCCTGAAATTATTCATCAATTGATTCAAAGGAAATGCTTGATATAAATTCTCATCTGACGCTAATTATTTAGCGCTCTTGTGTATAAATTATTAAACCCAGTCTGCTGTTGAAAAATTATATACCAATTTCTACTGAACATTTTTATGTTTTTAACTTAAGAATTAATTTCTAAACTTTGTCTGGCAGCTCAAGAGTTGTACCCAGGACTGAAGTTCAAGCCCAACGCTGGCCATTATTTCATCAGACTGCTGCAGGATCACGGCAAACTCCACCGCGTCTACACACAAAACATCGACGGACTTGAACGATGTCATTCACTTTTAATTTCTGTGAAAATTTATCAAAGCATTTTTTAATGATTTACTCTTACTGACCATAATTTTATCTGTTAAAAATTTTTATATCTACTATGAAAAGTTTGAAAGCGCTTTTTCTCTAAAATTGTTCCATCATAAACCAAAATATCTTCATGAACAAGTGTTTTCTCAGCCATTCGATTGAGTGGTGTAATCGTCACCTTCATGAAATTCACAAATGATGAAATTTTTACCAACGAATGGCTGAAGACGTGACACATTATCAAATGAAGCTCGTCTTGACTTCTTTTAATATTGGCAGTGAAGTATACATTAGGAATTTAATTTTACCCGAGTACTCGTGTCTCTATATTACGATTGAAAATTGCAGTCATCGCAATAAGATGTGCTTTAGTATCTGGTGAAGATTACTTGTTCGAATATCAAAGTTGCGACTCAATTCCTTGCAGTAAGCGGCATACAAGACGACAAGCTCATGGAGGCGCATGGGAGTTTCTCGAGCGCTTCATGCACCTTATGTCGCGTCTCTCACGACAGCGAGGCCGTCAAACGCAGCATCTTGAGTGGACCGGGCGTGCCGGTCTGTGGCGTCCGTGGCTGCAAGGTGGGTTAGCTCTGTAGAAATATTACTACACCTTAATTTAATTTATGTCTTTGCATGGTCATTAGCTGTGGTATGGGATCGTTTCAGCGTGCAGTTTTCCGACGTGTTTTTATAACGCCTTTTTTAAGGGGAGCGTCTGGCTAACATTTTATCTCGGCTATTTACTGACGGATCACTTTGAAACTTGGTACACATGAGTAAAACCGAAAAATAGACAGCTTTTATTCATGACAATTTTTCGAAAAAATGAAGGCCAGACGCTCCCCTTAAATTGATATTCGTACATAGCTCCTGAACGCTTTATCCAAGTTTTTTACGACATAGCGATTAGTTTTGAGACTGGAAAATGCGTTATTGGGCCGTTTTCAGACGTAAAAACGTGTAGTGATTTGACGTTCGTCTTATTCTTATCCAAATTTTCTGATGTAATATGGTGTGGTTTTACGGGTACCTGCTTGGGTCTTTTTTAGACGTAATAACGTGGAGCTTTCAGACGAGTTAACGTGATGTTTTCAGTCGTCGCTATTGAATAATTTTGTAGGGGCGTGAAGCAATCTTTTAGTGGCGGGATGTCGCGCAGTTTTTTATTTGTCATTTTACGGTTGTCTGAGTATCGTATCGTTTTAAACCTAATATCGTAGTTATGCATGATACTAATTTTTTCGACTGCCTTCTCATAAGAAAACAATCCAACTAATTATATAACGAGCAGTACTGCCATTATCGATTTTTTTCGTTTCATTTCATTCTTTTTATTTTCCTCATTCATCAAATATATGGTTTTGCTTTTATATCCTTATTTGATTGATACGTTCATATATTCCCCCTTGGCTTTCTTTCCTTGCTGAAAGAGTGAATTAAATGTTTTATATAAAATAAATATAATAAAATGATTTAAAGTATATTACATTTAATAAATATTTCTAGTTTTTTATATTAGAATCAATTGTTCATTAGGCTTCCAGGAAGATAGTAGATTCGAGATCAAGATAGCAATAAAAAATTCTTATCACCAATATTCGACAGATCCAACTGAATTTGCTTAAGAACCCGACACAGTAATGCTGGCCTTGAAACATGTATGTATAATATTGTGTGATTATCGAAACACTAGTGTTGAAGAAACTTTTTATTCTAAATTTCTAAATTTTTCTAAAAACGCGTCCTCTTGATCAGCACTCGTCGTTCTCAAAAATTCTTAATTTTTATTTCTTTATGCGACGACTTATCTTAGGGCTTCACAAGTCTCACTATTGGCAGTTGAGAAATAGGTTAATATTGAACTCTTATGCTAGCCGGATTATTATAAATTGCTGCTTGTGAGAACAACTGAATTAGTTCGTGATCAAAATTTTCACTTATAAACTTTCGGATTATCGAGAGATGTCGAATATGATGCGGAAGATCCAGATAAGATCATAAGAAGTAGACTTACTGTAGACCACATCGATGTGCTTTTGAACTAAATTATTCTCACATTTGTTTCCCAGGGAAAAGTGAAACCAGATATCGTATTTTTTGGCGAAAATCTCCCCGAAGCTTTCTGGCGTTTCGAAGAGGACCTTCACGCCATCGACTTGCTGCTGATCATGGGCACGTCTCTGGAGGTGAGTCTGGCGGTGATGTGCTCTTAAGTCACAGCTTTGTGAGTCGTTTGGTCATATATTTATTGAAATCGCACAATTTCCCATTGAGTCGTTTTGTCATATATTTATTAAAGTCGCGCAATTTCTCAAGCGTAAATCTGTTATAGAATAAACTAATGCAATGTTCTTCGTGATTTCTTATTATAAATTTCTTATATTCCAAGCGAACTCAAATGTCTTTTTAGTTTTATCAATATCAACTCACACAATGTGCTCATTCGCTACCATCACCACAGCAGCGTCTCCACACGTTAATATTACCGCCATATTGCATTCACACGTTACCATCAACGCCGTACGATCAGTAGATCGACCCATTCACTACTATCGCTTATTCACCAAGTCACCCGCCACCACCTCCCCCACACTCCCCTATTCATTAACTTTCATACCACGTCATCCTACTCTCTCTCATCTCATCGCCACGTCTTCCGCCCTCCCCTCGTCATTTGTTCCCCCGCCCTTTGTTTTCACCACTATTCTCACTACGTCATCATGGCTTTACCCTATTATCTCTCATCCCCACCACCCTCCCCCATTCCCCCGTCAGGTCTACCCGTTCGCAAGTATCGCGGAGTCAGCGCGTCGCGTCACCCCGCGGGTGCTGGTCAACAGGACGGGGGCGGGGCAGATCGGGTCGCGTGTCCGGGACTGCGTCCTGATGGGCGACATCGTCGACACCACCACGAGGCTCGCGCACCTCTGCGGCTGGCAACGGGAACTGCACGAGCTTATTTCTTCTTCGTGAAATGCTGATAGTGATGCAGAGGTCAGCGTTGATTTGGCCTATTCTGACCTGCCGCAGATTCTAGACATTGCCGAGTTCTCACAGCTTGCTAAGGTTTTGAACCCGCAATTCATTGCTAAAAACTTGCTGTTCTCAACCGCCCCGCTTTTGACCAGAACTGTCACAGGAAGTTGAAATTTAACTGCCAACTAACAGTTCATGTCCTGGCACTCTGAATTATAACCACTGGGCCACCCTGCTCTTGATAACAAGGAAATAATTTAAGCGTCAGCCTTTGAGATGGTTAGCTTATATTAATATCTTGCCGTATTGAAAGTTCATCGTACACATTCAGCTAAATATAGCAGGTATTGTCCTTTTTCAAGTATTGCCGGCCTTGTATAATGTGCAATATAGTATATGTTAACGAAAAGTTTGAATATTATCTATTTTGAGAAATGTTTTATAAAGCGAAACTATTTATTTTTGTCAAACACGTCTCATATTCAACCGTCATGCGCGCACGAATTTTTACCCTTTCGCGGGCGTGTTACCATATATGGTCACTTGAAATCTTCTTCCAAACAAACCCAGCTCGTCCTCCGGTTTGTGTTTAAAGCTACGTTATCACGCCTCTGCTAATTCAGCCTATCCACTCATACATAGCTTCGCCTCCTATCATACCCAGGAATTGAAATATGAGCATTTAAATGGAAACTTTGACTCGGACAATGAAATTGACGCTTTTCCGCATTTTTTAGAAACTCAACAGAAGTAATATCAATTTATTTTTATTTTAAAGAAGCTTGAGAAAATTAAATGAAATCGAAGCTTGATAGTATTCCTTTGCATTTGATTTCATAAATTTAAAAAAAAATCTATTTTTTTAGTAGAGTGACCGATTTTTACAGAACTTTCATCTGCGATTTCCTCCAATATCATGCCAAATTTTAAAATATCCTTACGAGTAAATTTATCTTATAATTCACCATACTTTCTCGCAATAGGCTGATAATTCAAATTTCAGCCTATTTCTATGCTTGCCCACGAAAGGTGGGCACGGCGGCACGCATTCCGCTATACTGTCATCATTCAGTCAGCTATAAACTGTTTGTAGCCTCCCCTTCAAAAAGTATTTTCTGTATTGCAAGTTCATTCTCTGTTACCAGATTCTAAGAAATGTAAAGTCAGAGCGTCTCGTTGCCTTTTGTTGCCCTGTGACTCAGTAAACGATTACATTTAGTTCTCCGAAGTCTCGACAAGCATTTAGGTATAGGATAGTAAACCCTGGCACTTACTAGAATAAATTATTACAGAGTCGGAATTCATGGCATCAAATTTAACTCCCTCTGAAATGCCGTATTTGCAATATTATTAATAATAATGGCAAAGAGTTCGGTCAGGTTGGTCGTTGTCTCGTTTTTTTTGGTTAATTCTTGATTTTTCCTCCTCGCTGGCTGCTTTCCAAGCTGCCCACTCAACGATCGTTACCAGTCCGCTCCTGGGAAGACCGCAGTGTTTAGGTCAGTGGTTCCCGAACTTTTTCAGGCTGGCGCCCCCTTTGGCTCCCTAGTGTATTTCTAGCGCCCCCCACAGACATACGCCTCTTTCTTGAAAATTAGTACGCTGCAATTTTAAAAGATATTTTAGGAGTTATACTTGGTGCTGGCCTCTTAGAATGTTTATGTTGCACTGGCGGTTATAAATAACTTTCGCCTCAGAGCATTCTCGATTCTGTATTGACTGTTTTCTTTAGTTACTATCATTAACACAATTGCGATGTGGTTGGTTCATTCAAAAGTTCATATGAAATTCATTGCAAAACCTACAGTTTCAAATAAAAAATAGACCTTGAACCGGTTGTATTTTACTAATTTCATTTCATTAAACACATGAATATTGTTACATTACGATCTGTATACAAAATGATAACAACAATTATAATGTCATGGCAAGCAGTTAGTTCTCTCGCATCCATGTTCTTACTCTACCGACTGCAATTTTTCAAGTAAACGTCTCTGAACTTTGCGTGACGAAGACTTCGGATCATTATCACTGCTCTGCGCTATTATTTAAATTCTTTTTAACTGCCATTTACGATTATTATGCATTGAACTTTGTAAACCGACAAATTATTGAAGTTGCCAACCGTGAATTTCGTTGTTCCAGCCCACATATTTGTCCTGATACCAAACACATCGTGCTATTTTTTTTACTTCTTACCAACCTATGATATCAATTTTAATGAAATTCCATGCTCCTCAATCTCACACTCGTAAGGTGTGACGTTTCTCAGGCCTTGAGCATACGTTAGTACTGTCGCTTTAGCGGCAAACTTCATTACTCACGTCGAAGAATTTAGTGCAGCTTGGAAGAAGATGCATATCTCCATAATGCGGATGCTGAGCTCGCTCCATGCACGGCAGTGGATAGAGATTCTGTCCTGCATTACGTCGCTTGCCACGACCGCCTCCATTTTTCCAGCTCTGCTATCACTCATGTCCTACTCTAAAATTTCCCCTCGGAAACATTCATAATTTAGTGTCAGATCTCCAGCAGCAAAACTCATCGTCACCCCGCCTTTTTGAAGACGACCAACTCTCTGCACGTGAGGCTGGCTATTATTAAATTCCTATTTCGTTGAAAAATCGCCAAGAAATTCTGGCGCCGAGCCGTGGACCGTCCCGGGGGCACTGAAACTCTCAACCCTCAAAAATTTTTCAAAATAACAAGAATTAGGAAATTTACAAATATTTTCATTAAAATAACTTTTAATTTTGAGCTTACGTTCGCGTGAAAAAGAAAGAATTACTTCATTTAGTTCTCCATTAATCTATCTTTCTTCCCTGTCCTACAAACTTACATGGAAATTTTTGCAGTGTTGTGGTGTAGTCAAGTCTCTTTTATCACACCTAGCTCATGTTACCTCGTAATACCCTGTGTAAAACACAGCAAAATAATCTTCAATTTCATATTTTTCTCATTGGCTTCAAAATTCGATCTGAACAAGTATATTTACCTGATGTTCAAATTTTATGTAGTGTTTGACTACGTAAACTTAATCAATTTTGGTCGTAATCTGCACTCATAAAATGGAAGTCGTGGGCCTAGTAGCCGTCACATCATTTTAGCTCGCCAATTAACGATTCTCGCCTGCTTAATTTATATTTCGTTATATTCTGACTATTTAAATAAACTTCAACTGCGTTTATCTTAGTAAAATTCTTAAATTCATGCGCGCGAATTTAAATAACACAGACTGCAGAATTTTTGCACTTTTGTATGTACTTTTCCAAATAGTACATTTTTTAACGCCATTTTTTTCATACCTTGCATTTTGCAAATCGTTTCGTTTTTATCCATTATTTACTGTATGAAAGGTCAAGTTAAACGCTCATTTTTTCAGTGATCACACTTTTTACTGTCATTTTACGCGTCTAAACTGGACACTTTTGCATCGCTCCTATATACTGTTTCCACAGTCGACGGCTCTTGATAACTCTTTGGAAAATCGCCTGTGACGCGTCCCATAAATTGGTCGATTAGACTCCATGGCGGGGCATCAATTGGTTAGCGGTTTGGCTTATTGACAATCTATGAGATGGAGAGTGGCGCCTCGGCCTGCAACTGCTGTTCTCAAGTGAAGGAGGTCGATACTGTCGTGATCTGCTGGCGCCGGCTGCTCCCGAACGATAGGCTTTCTATTTATTGAAGCAATAGCTTTGTTACGGCAACGACTCTCGATAGAAATTATCTTTTTGCGTGGGATGCTGTGGAGAAAGTGAAGTACCGCGTACAGTCATCGATAAAATCATTCATGGAATCTATTATTTCAGCCAATTCCATTCACGTATTATTTAATCCGAGTCAATTCAACCAGATATTTCAGTCGTAATTTTCTTACGTCGTCTATTTATTGAACAGAAAAAAATTATTGTTCGTCGAGTTTTTACACAAAAGTTTTGAGTTGCATTAAATTTTGAAAGAAAATTGTTAAAACAATTTTCTGGAATAACTTTTGCTCACAAAAGTGAAATTTAGATTCAACGAAATTTTCTAGCCATTCGCTTTCTTTTATAATTCCGTCTTTATTGCGAAGTTAAGAATTTAGCCAATGCGTTTTATGTATATACTTCAAGTCAGAAAATGTAGATATTCATTGAGGTTCAAATCATTTGAAGGGGATTTTAAGTGAATATTTCTGAAAAATTTCACGTATCTTCTATGAGGTTTAATATAATTCAATACCAATAAATTTTATAATTGAATGCTCATGTATTACTTAATTTGTAAAGCGAAAAAATGCGCGTGATGTCCGCTTTCTTGAAATGGTTTCAGTATTTGCATTTTGAATGCAATCCATCAGGTCATAAGACTTGCGTCGTTGATTGTAATTTTTTTCTGTACCATTCAGTTGTTCTTTCTTACAATGAAGAATTCATGTAGAACTCTTCTGGCTTCATTTATTATTTCTTTGCTCTCTGTGAGTCAGGCTTTCTGCTCTTTGGGCTGAATGCCCTTAAGATGCCACCATGCCATTAATTTATTAATTCTTCCTAAATTTGCTTTTCGTGTTTTCGGTGAAGACCATCCTAAACTCAGCCATAATTCTCCTATTAGCTGTAACATAATTAATTAATTATCTTCTGAGATCTCCACCCCTGTCGACTCTGCCAAGAAAAATAAGTCGGCGGCAGCGGGTAAGGCGGCGCCTCAACGATGACCTCATCGCTCCACGCGGGGTGTGACGCACCGCAGTCGCTGCTCTCCGCACGTCTTCTGATCGTAAGTTCATCAGCCTATCATTGACGGCCTTTCAAGCAAAATCCACCAATCATAGACAAGAAAATAGAGCGTAAGTACTTACGTTTACTTAGCGAGTTTTGAAAGTCTGGCCCCAGGGGCCATACTTTCAAAAGTCGCTAAGTAAACGTAAGTACTTACGCTCTATTTTCTTGTATATGATTGGTGGATTTTGCTTGGAAGGCCGTCAATGATTGGCTGATGAACTTACGATCTCTTAACTTTTTTTGAAAGTGCTACTGGCAATCCCCACGTATTCCGCCGGCGCTATTTCCATGAATTTGCTCATAGTTGGAGCTAATTCATGGAAATAGCGCAGACGGAATATGTGGGGATTGCCAGAATATGCTCCACATGGCTAATTCCAGTGGAGCATATTCCGTCTGTGGGAATTGCCAGAATTTGACGACGGAATATGGTCCCTAGTGTGGGGCTCCAAGTTTTGGTTTGACTACAGTAACCAAACTGAAATATAATTTACCAGGGCACAGGTTCAATATGGTTTCATCTAATTTAATTCAGCATCGTCTGCCTATCAAAATATATATTATACATCCGCATCTATTGGCCACTTTTTCAAGGTTTCTTAGGGACCGGCTGCAAATCCCTCTTATGACTATTTTCCTACTGTTCTACTATTGAAAGTGCTGCAAAATTCACTTCCAGTCCCTTCCCACATCCTGTAGCGCCCCACTGGAGGGGCACTATAGGTATATATGAATATGAACTTATGAAGTCTACTGAATTTTGGTGCTTGCCAACAATATTATTAGTAAAACTGGCAAACTTTGCTTGTTTAACAAAGCTTAGATTCCCCCACTCTGTAAATGTCATTTATTTACGTCTTAAAATACATGGAAGGAATAGCCGAGTCACTCCTGCAGAGATCCTATATATGAATTTGGTAGCCTTTTGTCGGCCTTATTTCTTAACTAAAACCGGATGCAATTATTTAATTACTTTGACAGAAATTAAAGTTCAGTTTGCTTCAATTGAACCAAACATTTACTGAAACCTATTGTGCTAGACTGAAAATATCTTGCAGACTACGCATCCAACCAGCAACTTTCAGGCGGTGATAAGAATGTTATTTTTTTCTATTTTGCGTCTTTGCCTTTATCGTAACTTTTATTCTCGGCGTAAATTTATTAAAGTATCGTAGCGTCTGAAACTGAGCACAGACGACTTCACGTCGCCCGTGTGGCACTACAGGGCGTGGTCGCTGCCCGCGTCAATTTGCGGATTGCGTTTATACGGAACTTGTGTGGGCATCTCCGTCTGGTGTTGCTGCGTGCATGGCTGACATACTAGCTTCGCTGCTCTGGTGTTACTGTGGCATGCGTGGCATACAAGCTTCGCTGCTCTGGTGTTACGGTGGCATGCGTGGCATACAAGCATCGTCTGCTCTGGTGTTACGGTGGCATGCGTGGCATACAAGCTTCGCTGCTCTGGTGTTACGGTGGCATGCGTGGCATACAAGCATCACCTGCTCTGGTGTTACGGTGGCATGCGTGGCATACAAGCATTACCTGCCCTGGTGTTACGGTGTAGCGGGCGAACTCACTAAAATACTCTCGTTGCCTATTTGCCACTCCCTGTTTTGCGGCGAGCTCAATTGTCGTTTAGTAACTGAGCTGTTTTTTGCTTCAACTTAGATGTCTAGGAACAAATTTTCTGTCATCATGCCATCATGGTTTTACTCACGTTCTCATATGTTTGCTATCAGCATTGAAAGTTATTATCTCCACCTCATACGAACTTCATCCAACTTATTTCAAT